GGAAGAAACAGAACCATTCTCTTACTTTGCTATGCCATATAGGGTTATTAATCTTGTCAGTTTAATGATTCTTTTGTCTTGCACTGGTTGTAATGCATAATAGCTCCTGAATTTCAATGTTTAAATTAGAGTAAGTTCTAAACAGCTGAAATCCAATCAATGGTTTCACAGTAAGCAAAATGCCACATTGTTCTTTGATTCAAACAACAATTATGTGAATATCTAGGGTTTGTAATTCTGTGTTTACACTGTTCATGTCAAAATCTTGTGATTTTTCACCATTGGAATTCCTTACTGCTAAACCAAAAAGATTTCTGATGGGAAGCATTTGCCGGCCAAAATATAAATGATGAAAATATACCATAGCAAATATCCCCTCAATGTAAACCGCTATTTCCCCCCCTAAAGATGTGAGCAGTTATTTTTAAAATCTCACTAAAATGGAATCCTTTTAAGGAAGACAGCTGGGAGATCGTGGGTCAAATGTAGCCATCTCCAAAGGGAAAGATGGCTTGGCTGAGCAACAACTGTAGCAATAGAATTTAACAGCATATCATTTTAGGAAACAAAAAGGAATTTTTGATACAGATTGCAGTCTCATTTGGATTAACATTTGCAGAAAACGTAAATAAAGGGTTCACAAGAGATGGAGGCATATAAGGAATAAAGCAAAAAGCTCTATGTAATGTAAAATGTGTGTGTGTGTGTGTGTGTGTGTGTGTGTGTGTGTGTTACCAAGAGTGTAGACACAGCTTAACTCCAGGTAGAATGGCAATACAAGTATAAACCAAAATAATATGTTCATAGCAGTTGCTGCATTCAAAACAGCAGCTGATGCCATCAGATGAATGATGTAATGATGATGGGAGTTTAGTAGACCTGGTATGTTTATGTTATTTTCAAGAATTTGATTGGAGGAGATAATCTATATAAATAAAAATGTAATATTCATTTTAGGGATTAACATAACTCAAAAACCACTGGACAAATTGACACCAAATTTGGACGCAATACACCTATCAGGCCAACAAGTGACCATCACTCATAAAAACGCTAAAAAAACAGCAGAAGAGACTTAGAAAGCCAAAAACAAAAAATACATTACAACGCATGCGCAAAACCACACACACACACACATATGCAAACACATATACACAAATATATACACACACATATACCCACACAAAACACATATACACAGACTGGGCCACACCAACGCATGGCTGGGGACAGCTAGTTTTTATATAAATGGCCAAGCTATATTGCTCAATATGATGATATTCTTGTATGCGATCAGTCCTTACGGAAATGTAACATCTGACTTGCCATGTACTGGAACATAAAGCATCTGGCTACCAGTATTTAAAAACTCAAAAATTACAACAGCAAAACAACAGAGAGTGAACAATCAGGCACATCAAATCACCTCTCAAAGAAAGATTCCCCCAGGCACTACTTGATTAAATGCTAATCAAGGTGGTCAGTTGAAACATTCACACCTAGCTCCAGCAGACAAAAGTCCTTTGTCCCACCCTGGTCTTTCCACAGATATATAAACCCATTTTCCTACTTCCAACAGACCTCACTACCTCTGAGGATGCTTGCCATAGATGCAGGCGAAACGTCAGCAGAAAATGCCTCTAGAACATGGCCATATAGCCCGGAAAACCTACAACAACCTAGTGATTCCAGCCATGAAAGCCTTCAACAATACATTAAAGCTTCTAAGATACCTTGCAATCAGTGTGATGTAATGGAAACAATATGTCCAGGCATTAACATGTCTTTTCTTTTTCCCTAAGTAGAATGTGTATGCCAGAATATCTGTAATAGCCTACAATAAATATCCTAAAAGATTAAAAGAGATAGTCTGCTTAACTTAGTTGATATTGAGTCTGTCCATCTGAATTTTACTATGATCACAAATTGGAGCTCGGGCGGCCAAACAATGTTAAAGGAAGCCCAGACAGAAACAATTAGAAAGGGCCCTCAATCCCCTTGTCAATCCCCTAGTCTAAAGAGAAAGGGGTAGGGAATGTGCCACTTTTATTTTGATTATCACTTCCTATTGCTAGATATGCTCTTGGAGCACTTGGATGAACTCGTACATGTTATGAGTATATGAAATAGGTAACAGACCTTTTGACCCTGGAAGTAACGTGTCTTACAAAGATTTAGTCAATAACCCAGGTCTACACAGAGCTATAAAGGGGGAATTACATTTAATAAACTCAAGAATGGAAAATATTCCATTAAACTGTTATATGATTTCAACTCTACAAGAACCAAAGATCCAATCCAAAATAGGATATGGCAGGATGAAAGCAAAAGAATAGAGGGTTTATTCGCTTTGGCCAAAATGGATGCCAGGCGAGTCTGTGCTCTCAAATCTGATATACCTACAATGGAAACATATAGGGATATTTATGGGAATTCAAAAAATAGACTTTTTGCCACACCGAGTGCCGATTGGCTCAATTGGGTGCCAGGTAGGATCCGCTCACTGGTTAGCTTAGGCATGCTGGCTCTTTCTGCAGATGATTGGCTTCTGGTTCTGGTGGGAATTTTAATCAATAGTCATTACCCAGTTTGATGTTTTCGGCTGTTTCTTGGTCTGCCTCTCAGCTGTACAAGAGGAAGAAGGAATGTGGGTAGGGTCTAAGTCAATGGGTGTAATGATGGTAGTTTTCACAGCCTTGGTGAAGACAAAGCTTTGTTAGGGGATTATGTCTACCATTTGAAGCCATAGGATTCCACCCCCCCCCCCCCCCCCCACACAGAATGCACAAGTGCTTGTGGGACTTATATGTCCAAGATAAAAGTAATCAGTGGAGGTTAGCCCAAATTAGATTTCTGGGTGAAATGTCACCTTGACTTTGCTATCAAGACTTTTCCATTACCATGGCTTTTGGGGTCCTCTTTGAGGTCCCAGGGATTCAATAACAAAATGACCATATGGATGTGAAGAACTGAACTGAGTAAACTTGACTGAAAGAAATCAATCACAGCTCAGGAAACGTTGCAGATGAGGTGGATAGGAAATATTACAGATAGAGGTTTGTTTTTGTGTGACACAGATATGGTTGGATTTGATAGAGATAGAGAAGTATGTCTTAGAAAAAGAATATGGATTTTAAAATGAAAAAGAACAGATGGTATAGAAATAGATCACTCAGAGGGACAGGAGAACTGACTGTGGGTTGAGGGAGCTCTGACTGATTGGGAGTTCAACTCTCTATATATTAATTATGTGTCTCTTCCTACATATACACTTCTTTGTTTGTTTTTACTACAGTCTCCTTCTGTTCATATAAAGTTTGGTGAAGGCTCGTCATGCTAACCACAGTGAACTTCCACAACAACACAGCTAGAGGTTTATGTGTATAAGGTTACTCTGAGATCCAAGATCCCAAGTGGGAAACAAGGGCAGGGTGTGAAAGGATTCCAGTCTGGAAAGGTGATCTGTTACAATGTGGAATCATAGTTATGGTGAAGCTTCATAAAAGGCTAACACTAAATGCATAATGCAAACAACAAGCTATTTAAACACAAGATGGAGAAATGTTAATTGCAGCAGCCAGATCACAAAACTGAGAGAGTTTGGGATTAAGCAAAGTGAAATGCCAGGGTTTCTAAGAGGGAAAAGGAGAATAGGAGGAAACTGGGATAAAAAGGGCCTTTCCCTAAGCCACATTTTCACACAAACATACACCAAAGAAGAAAAAGTCACCTTGTCATAGTTTTCCCAAGGTATGCATTGCATTTCTATTTAAATTATCACCACAATTAGATTGCACATGCATAGAAGTGGTCTTATTCTTAGGCTGGGTGAACCAGATACATGAAGTAGCAAGGAAATCTGTGTGGAAAATACACCACTCTCTATCCTGGTAGACTCTGTCAGTGTGTTGAACTGAGCTGCTGGTGTTCAGAGACAGGAATTCTTCCACCTCCTGAAGAAATAAAAGAATCTGAAAGCAATGGTGACTGATCTTCATGATCTTGCTATATAGAGCTGGTTCTTTTCTAAATATCTGACTCACCCATGATGGCCACGAGCTTGCATGGTTCTCTGTCACCAGTTAGGAATGGTGATAGTGACACATACGGTGAAGGGACAGTACAGTGGCTTCAATGCGGTCTTGGCCTGGCTGGATCATGTGAATGCCAACTCAATGCAGGACTTGTCTACTCTGGCGAGTCTAAATTCACTCCCAGTTCACAAAAGTCACATCACAAAAAGGACACACTAGATATTGGGCAGGCCATTGTGGTTCTCTGGTAAGTGCCACCCTTGTCTTTTTGCATCTCAAGTAAGCTGGGGAAAAGCCTTCTTCTGAATATGACTGCCCTTTTTCTGCTTTCTGTGGCAAAACTGAATGTTCAGTCCTAGGCCCTAATTCATTTGCTAAAAGGGATACTCTGTTTTCTACCTTAGCTCAATTAAAGCACCTTATTGCAGCATTCATTTGGAGAGTAAAGCATGCAATTTTATTTACAGCACAATTAAACACTGGCAAAATTGCCAAACTGAGGGAAGAAACCTTATCATGAATACTAAATTGTTCCTAATAGACCTTATTAGTCAGTAAATTGTCGTTAAGTGGGTATAGCACTTCATTCCAATTGCCGTAATATGCAGATGTTCTCAATCTTTACTGCCAGGTCACACACTTTTTATACAAATACAACCATTGAGTGAGACAAAGACTTTATTTCAAATATCTTAAATTAAATAAGCAAGTTGTCAATCCTGTTTGTGTCCTATGAATGGCTGGGATTCCCTTATGGAAGTGGCTAGACATATTTTGTCCAATGTTAAACTAAATTCTGCAATCATAAGACACAAAATGCATTCACTTCATGATTGCAGAAGCAGGTTGTAATGGTGGTGCTATTGTGCATAGTGTAGACTCATGTGGATTATCTGCTTTGATAATCTGGATTATATGGCCATGTAGAAGGGGCCTGTGTTACCAATGAAACAAACAGCAAGAATATTGAACATTACAGCCATTTATTCTATATTTTAAAAATTCTGTATTATTCTGCATCACTCCAATTGTTTAGAAAAGCCAGATCAAGGATGAACATTTGTCTGGGCAGAATTATAATTTTGCATTAACGTGAATTGCAACAAAGGGGTCTTCAGCACTGTTGCTGATCTGAAAATAAGCTTTGCCATCACCTTGGACGTCAATTCTGATTCCAGTGCAGCTGTTCCCCTCCTTCTCACCCGAAATGATATCACAATATGTGCCTGCAGGAAGGCCGGTTTGGAGTGTTTCAGACAAGTTCCTGTTTGACAGGGAATTAAAAGTATTAGACATTTAAATAATCCCTTTTCCCAATAAAGCTTTACACAATAAACAAATGAGGTTTTGAGGGACTATCATTCCCTTATGTAGTGGCCAATGCCGAAGTACTGTTCTGCTTCATGAAATCATTTCACCTTGTGACAATCATTACACACCAATAGATATGTAACTGATGTTCATTAGGTTCGTATTGCTGTCTTTTTATGGAAGGTTCTGTGATGGTTTTATGAAGCACAGTTCAACGCTTTGTGTGATATGACATAGCATAGTAGGGGTGAGATACCATAGGCTCTTGGGGGCCAAATCATTTGATGGTTTTCTAGTTTCTATGCAAGTTTTTTCCCATTCTCTCCCTGCATGTCTGCTTACATCCGTCCCTCTTGAGATTTGCAGAAGTTGAGCTCAATTATACATGCGTTTTTGGTCTCACTATTTCACCCTTAGCCCTTGATCACCACATAAATGCAGTTACATGTATTCTTTTCTCTGATGTTGAATTTGGCATCCAATTTAAAAGAGTTTGGTCAACCTTGCTGGGCACACACCCAAGTAAGTTAGTGATGGTTTCAGCATCTTAAAAAAATCTCAGCCTACTTACCAGTCATCATTATTAAAGACAATGAATCCTTTGTTGCCACGACCAAATGCCACTTGATTGCTGTTATTGTCCCACCAATTGGTAAATGCCTGTCCATCAACAACATTACGGAAAATAGCCATATTCCTTTGGAAGGGGAGAAGAGAAACAGCATTAAAAATTTTATATGCGAGTGCCATCATGTGTCATTTTGACAACAATACAAGCTGATCTCAAGTGCTGACGTATCAAAAGATAGCAAAAACTATTTTGAAAAATTGTAACAAGATACAGTGATGAAAGCATAAAGACAACATCTAGAATTCAGCATGGGACATGTCTCTTTGCAAGTGGACATTCAGATGTTTGAAATGAAATGAGTAGTTTTGCAATGTCCTTCTTCATCTAGGACAGTGGTTCCCAACGTTTGGTCCCCCAGGTGTTTTGGACTTCAGCTCCCACAATTCCTAGCAACTGGTAAGCTGGCTGGGATTTCTGGAAGTTGAAGTCCAAAACAACTGGATGACCAAAGGCTGAGAAACAATGATCTAGGGGCTGCCATGACAATATATAAAGGTCTGCTGAGCAAAAGAAGCCAGTGGAGTGACTCAGGCACCCTAACTGTGATGTGCAAGGAGCTCAGATGGGCCTTGGAGCACCCCAATACACATCTGGAGACTGGATAGGAAGTTCCAGAGCACAAAGTGTCAGAAATGTCCAATACTGTCTGCTAATTGGCCATTTGGCTTAACATACCAAGCACTACTGATATACAAATTGTCAAATTAACATGGCTTTTGAGGGACAAGCCAATTGAAGCCTTCTTGAAAGAATGGGAAAATGTTACGGACTTTTTGACCCACAATGAAAATGAATAAGATAAAAAATTGTAGCTATGATTAATAGTATTATGGATTAGGATCGATAATGATAAGCTGCTATATATTTTTCATTTCATTACAGTTTGATTGGGTGGTCGGTCTAGTGTATTAGTGTTTTGTTTGGGTTTTACTTTAGCATTTGTCTCAGTTATATATTTGTGTGTATCTTTTTCCTCTTTTTTTTCTTGTTCTTTAGTTGTGTGTCATATAACTTGATGTGTACCAGAACTGTCGGTCCTCATAATTAGAGAAGTAGTTTCTGTTAGAAGGTAGGTACAGATTAAGCATTTTTTCTGAATTGTTTTCAGATCAGTTTACAGCTCAAACATAAAATTCCTTGAATTTATATCCAGATTCAGCCTCTCTGTTCAGATCTACACCATCTTCTCAACTTCTTTGTTCATTTTCCCTTGCTATCTCGGTATTAGAGAGAGGAAAAACTATTCAGAAAGACAAGGAGATGAGGAGAGACAAAACGAGCCTCAACTTCATGTACATGACCTCGAATATTTTTTATCTATACCCATCTTTCTCTCAAACTAGAACTCACAGTTTCTTATTTCTCATGTCCATAAATACTAAAAGAGTCATGGAATATCAGGAGTTGTATAATTAAAATTCATAACGATCTTTCACTTTTTCCTGGTTTAAGAAAAAAATCAAAATTTTGGTTACATTTAAATTTTGTTAAATAATTTCTATTATTTAAAAATCGGTTTAAAACCTACTGATTTAAAACCTTGATGCTAGAACATACTGGTTAATTAGAATAGACTTTCTCTCATTACTCTTCAAAGTGCCTAAAAACCAATACCGAGTGAAGCAAATTAAGTTGACTGAAAGTGATGTTATGTATAGGTTGGATAAATTTTACATCTTTCTAACCTTATTTGACGCCATCGATGTTCACAGACCCACTCATTGCCACAAGTTGTGTCTGGATTAATGGTAACTGACTTAGTTGAGCCATCAGAATTGCTTGGAGGTCCAATCCAGTCATTAACATCCTAGTTACAGGACATATGTGGGACAAAAATATTAGATGACTGGTGGCAAATAACAAATCTGCAGACAAGATACATTTTTAAGAACTTATACACAATTGAGAACATCTAATTAAATTGCTCAAAATATTCCAAATTAAGCTGTACATGCAACAATGGGATAAAGTACACTCAAGTACACTTCTGGGGATCATATCATAATTGTTATCCTGAGTAATTTTTCCAAGAAATGGGACTATGATAATCTTTAAGGTTAAGAGGCTTTGCAGTTCTGACAATAAACTTATGATACCTATGAAACTTAGGTGCACATTCTCTGTTGATTTCTAATTGGGTAAATTATTATTATTATTATTATTATTATTACTACTACTACTACTACTACTATTACTATTATATTTATTTATATCCACTTAATCTCTCATGAAGGAGACTCAAAACTACTTAACATTAAAATATTAGCATACAATTTAAAATATACAAATATGCAAACATTAAAACAGAACTAAATATAAACAGTATTTTAAAATTCACAGTTAAAAACCATTAAAACATATTCAAATTAATATTGAACCTGAGTTTTAAAAGCTAGTTAATTTAGGAAAGGAGAAGCATTTCTACAGCCCACCACCCTCCAACTGTGCTTTAAAGTTTTGAAGTTTTAAATCTCCCGACCCTTAAATCTGTGTCCCCCTCCTTTTGAGCTGGTCATTGACCGTAATAAAGTGAACTTGAACTTGAACAGTGCTTTAAATCGCATATGATTCATCACACGAGTCTAGTTATAGTGGAAGAACCATAACAAAAGTGACTCATTCTTTATGCAGGCCTATTTTAGTTGTCTCATCCAAAAAAACCCTCTTTTCAGCTCCTTTAACACATACTCCTACTAGAACCCGAAATCACCCCCTATACAAAATGTGTGGGTTTTCTTGAACTTGTGGAACAGTGAAAATAAATAGCTTGCACTAAATAAATGAGGAATACTTATAACCAATTAGACATCGTTACTACTAATGACACAATAGGAACTTACCTTTCCATTCACAAAATTCCTTGACCAACGGAAACTTGACATGATTCGTGTAAAACCATAAGGGTGAGCAAGCATGAAACCAACTGCCATTTTGTAGAGTCTGGAAAAAGGAGGTGGGGAGAGAAAGGTTAAAAAAAGAAGATTCAGAAATCAAGGTTTATATTTTTTCTGGGAGATAGGTAATGAAGAAAGGCCTTCAAAAGTGTTGCTCACCTAGGATCCCAAAAAGTCAAAATGGAAGCTCCTCCAGCACCATGTCCTCTCTGGTTATCATGATTATCCACAAAAACCAGAGCTTTGTCAGAAGGCATGAAACCCCAACCTTCACCCCAGTTCCTAAAGAAAATGAAGAAAGTAACAAATTAATTGGAAACAGTACTTTTCAGATGGTAAATGATATTGAGCTTTCAGTTGTATCCTTGTTTGAACTACATGAAATAAAAATTACTTTAGATAAGCCATCTTTTCTCCATTCCACCTACGAATGACTGTCCCTAATTTTGCACCATATTTGAATTCTGTTACCCGGCCATTTCCGAAGTATTCACTGGCTGAGATGGCCTCTCCACCCATATCAATTACCTGAAAGATGAAAAAACAAAACATTTATTTCAAGGTGTGGAATAAGCCCTTTCTCTAATTCTCTTTCTTCCCCCATCTCATTTATAAGCTCAGCTGCAAAATTGACTGGTCCACACTTTTCATTTATGGTCTTGTTTACATTAGCTTGCCTTAAATTGAAAGCCTTCATGACACAGAGTTACTTCTGATGTGTATCCCAGGAGTTGTTTGCTTGGGTTTTTTGTTTGTTTGTTTCATTCCATTTTTGCCCTGCTCCCCTTTGAGCAAAGTTAGGGGATACTCTAGAGGTTTTTTTTAGAAATTCCAGAGTATCCTGCAGTTTCAGAGTTTCAGAGCAATTTAGATTAGGCTAGATTCACCCTGATCCATCATCCAGATGGGACACTGGCACCTGTTTATCAGCTCAGGGAAATAATATAGCTTCTGTCCATGTCATTGCCACCATCAATAGCCCCCCACATCTTCATGCTTTTGAAGTCTACAAGGGTACCCACATTGACTGGGGCACAGAACTCTGTAGACAACTAGGAGCAATGGTGGAGACACAGAGGAAGTCTCCGAACTCTGGATTCAGCCAAATGCAGATTAACCCTATGGCAGGTCACACATTCAATTGTGACTCATGTAGTATTGACTAGTGAAGTTATATATGCCAATGTGTATTAAAAATGGCAGGAACTAATAAAATAGGTGCTGTATTCCATAAGGTTTGAAGCCAACCATTTTCCTGACTAGCGTGTCTGTAGGAAATTGAAGTTTGCAAACACAACTCTATAGTATCTGCATTACTGTCTCACTCATTGCTCTCTTGACTGTAAAACATCAAGCACCTCAAGATCAAAATTACATGTTCTGTGCTTTCCCCTTCACTGAAAAAATATTAGGCTCCAGCAGTTCACATAAAAATCTAAATGTGTACTGGGGCCAAGTGTGTACACTAGAATAAAGTTAGGCACCTCCTTAAGATTGAATAAGTATACAAAAGGATAAACCTTAGTTAATGAAGACTCTGTCAAATAAGTTTATTTTCATGTCTTCCCAGCTTTCCAAACTCTTTATTCTCTGGCTGGCTGGGAGTTAGTGTGGACATTGGGAGGGTGCTGAAGGATGACTGGAAAAATAAACATTTGCCACTGGGTAGCAGCAGCATATCAACAGTGAACAATTCCATGAAGCCTGAGTTGGGAGCAAACAGAATTCTACTCTGATTTTATTGTAGCTTGCTGTACATTTGTACAACAGGCAAGGTAGCTTCAGATACAGAACCATTTTTTAAAGATAGAGATAGAGAAAATGGGAAAGCAGTTAAGCATGTCTCATCAACTGTCCCTACCATGTTAAAAATAGAAACATAGATTTAGTTATGAAAATGGACATCATAATTGGAAACTAATAAAAAAGTGATCTCTAAAAGCTTCAAAAGGATTTCTAGAAGGTTCAAAATGATCTGTACTGATTTTTAGAAGATTCTACATGATTTTGTTTACCTAAGAAAGGCATACCTGACATGGTTGTGGATATTGTTGGTTTTGAATACAAAACTTATTGGAAAACAATTAACTGTCCTTCATTTTTTGTTTGGTTTAGATCTTTTCCAAACTACTTCTGCCTCTGGTAACATTTTTTCTGCTAAGCAAGTAATGTCCAGGAACAAATCTAGTTTGTTAATAGGGGTATACCCATATCCATATATTTCTGAACATCCTGTTCAATGCAAGTGACATGTGATGAGAGTTCCTTGATGATACCGTTGAGCTTTCAAAGTTACCCTTTAAAGATGCAGATCCCAGAACTCCCCCTGCCAGTGTAGTAAAAAAGTAGCATATCTTAGGTTGACAACTTAGGAAAAGGTTCATCTTGCCATTTTCTCAAGCTAACACTATATGTGTTTAATGTGTAGCTTTGACATGACAGATCAATGAATCACCTCTTGAAAGATGAATGGCTTTGTTCCTTCAGGAAACCAACTTGTGTTCAGATTCTTTAGCTTGTCTAAAAATGCTTTCATGTCCCCAGGCCACATATGTTTGGAAGCGTCAATTCGAAATCCTGCTACTCCAATGTCAATCAGGCGGTTCATAAAGTTAGCAACTGTGGAGCGCACGTAGTCCTTCTCCAGAGCAAGGTCAAGAAGACTAACAAGGCGACAATCACGGACCTGTTCGGGAAAAATGATTTTGAAATGTCAATCTAATGGTATGTCTGCATGTGCCTTCAAGCCACATGTTGATTTATGGTAAAACCTAAGAGTTTACTTAGGTAAAGAGCACTCATAAATAGTTTTGAAAAATAGCTTGCAGATCCTGGTTTTCATTGCCCGTCTCCTATCCAAATATTAAGCAGGACTGGCCCTGCTTAGCTTCCAAAATCAGACAAGATCTGTTGCCTTTTGGGTAGGTGTGTCAAACTCATTTCCACTGAGAGTCATATCAGCCTTACTATTGCCTTCAGAGGGCCATTTGTAATTATAAGACTGTATAAATATATTCTTTAACATATTGTTAAATAACCTGAGACACTACATCGCACACCATCCAGATTCATTGATCATGTTCTGAAAATAACAACAAATACAATTCAAAACGTAAACAGAAATATTCAAAATACTACATGGTCTGAAATGCGCCCAGACCTCGTGTGGTGCACAAAGTGACATGAAGGGCCTTGAGTTGACACATGTGTTTTAGGATATTAGCATCCTGCAGCTGTAACTCAATGATAAAGTAAATAAAAAGTATTACACATTTAGTCCAGACTTTGAGATACTAAAATCTCTTGCATCCTAGGCTGAGAGTGAAACATGATGCTGATCACAAGCAACCTCCAGTCAGTTGGTCAGTTCGCCGGCCGGTCAGTCTGCTTGTCTGTCCGTCCACCCACCCGTCAGTCAGTCAGTCAGTCAGTCTGTCTGTCTATCTATCTATCTATCTATCTATCTATCTATCTATCTATCTATTTATTACCTATTAATATATTCATCTGCTTGATTTTGCTTTTCAACCAGCTAAAAGAACAACAAAAGAAAAAAAGAAAAGAACAACAAATAAATCAGCCACAGAGTTTACCTGGTAAGCATCATTGTAATTTTCAATCTCTCCACTCTGAGTTCTGCATTTCCCATCATTGAAGTCCCAGGCTGAATAAGGGACAGCAGGAAAGTCACGGGTACCAGTATTAAAATAGCTTCCACAAGTAGAATGTGTGCCTTCTCCACCTCCAGATCCGCACATGTGGTTGACTACAGCATCAACATAGATATGCACCTTATTGAGGCAAAATATTTATTTAAGTTATTTTCATGAAGCAATGTGAAGGGATATCCTGGTTTTCACCCTTTCTTTGTTTATTTTTATTTTGCTCCAATAATTGCATTAAAGATGTCACCTTCAAGTATGCTTCTGGTATATTATAGAGACATAAATGCACTAAAATTATTTTACCGGAAATTATTTTACCAGATTCCCAGTGTGCAAGGATGTCAGAAACAAGTAGTCCTAGCACTTTGCACATCTGCACCTGTTGCTTTGCTAATGACACATGTTGTTTTAGAGTGATGCACTCTAATAAGTGGATTCATTTAATGTTTCCAGAGCCAAATTGATTCTCCAAATTAATTCAATTGAAAAGCCACCATTCAAATCGAGTTGACAATGCCAACTTCCTGTGAGGAACATAGTAATATGTCTTGTAACTGCAAATTGCATTTTACAAGGTATCTTTTTGAAGGAACTGGTTTTCTGTTATCATGAACATAGAGTCAGAATTTATTTGATCTCAAAGCACCTAAATATTGGTATTGTCAGGATTTCTGAGTTACTTACTCCAACATTGTTGCATCTGGTGACCATGTCTATGAATTCATTCTCACTCCCAGATCGTGAACATAGTTTGTAGCTGATGGGCTGGTATCTTTCCCACCATGGCCTCCATGGATTTGTAATGACAATGTTTTCATTTGGAGGGGAGATCTGTAAAATAAATGGTATCATACAATGCCACAGGATTTAAAAAATCAACCATTTAAGCAAAGGCATGTGATGGATTTTTACATACACTGTAGGCTTCCAAGAAACAGACAGATTCTCTATGGGCAAAATAAAAATAACATTAAAAATTAGTACGCTTTCTCTAATTCCAAAATTAGAGAATTCCTTATGTGAAATACTTAAGACCAGAAGAGTTTAGAAGTTCAGATTTTTTTTAAAAAAAATATATGGCTTTATTTGCATATACATCTTGGAGATGAGACCCAAGTCTAAACATCAAAATCATTTATGCTTCATTTACACTTTATACATATAGCCTGGTGATTTTATACACAATGAATGAATGAACAACAAAATATTTTGTGTATAAGATAAAAAATTTATACAAGGAATTATCAGAGACCAAAGGTGACCTCAGTCACCATGAGGACAATTTTGCATTTTATATTATTTCAAATTCCTGAATAAAGATGCTCAGCCTGTATTAGATTTTTCCAAGTTTTCACAATTAATTCTCAACAAAGAATATATTGCCTGCAGCCTTCTCTATCAATTCCTTTTCATTCAAAGGAGTGTGAAAATTAGCAATGGAGTGGGTTCACTGAACCCAGATGTGAACTTCCAAGCTTTTGTTTAAAACAGAGATGGGAATTGTGGATATTTGCAGATGTAGAACCATAAGTCCTATCAGACCCAACCAACATAGTCAAGAATGACAGATGCTGTAAAATAATATACTTGTACTTCTGATATTCGAGGAATGTGTTATTATTTAATGAACATCTTAAAGATTGAAATGCTCATATTCCCATAATGCAAACGTCTCTTGAGCAAATCTCTGCATATTTTAAAGTAGCTTTAATACATATTACATGCACACATTTAAGGTGCCACATGTCAAATTTGATATGCTCAACCAGTTGTACAGCGTACAACACAACAGTGTTCCAGATTTAGAATTGCAGATTTAGAAGAGACCACAAGAATCCAATCCAATTCACTGCTGTGCAGGAATATATTCAAAGCCCTCGTGACAAACGCCAATTCAGTCTCTGTTTAAAAACCTCCAAAGACTGATTTCAAAGAGACTACTAATGGAACAACTAAAAATACAGCCTCAGCTTGTTTAGGTGAAATGGCCTGTATCTAAAACAAGTCTATTTAAAAATTATGTTTTCACCTTGATATCAAATTTTGTGCAGGACACATTAATTACAATGGGACATAATCACTGCTTCTTAGCATAATGCTTCACCTAAGCATAATCCACTTTCTAAATACATTTTCAAGATATTATTATTATTATTATTATTATTATTATTATTATTATTATTATTATTCCCAGCCTCACCTTTTGGCTAGAGGTAGGGCACAACTTAATCTAATTCATCTATAAAATCACATATTAAAACATAGTTAAAATGCAACCATAAAAGCATATATTAGCACATCTTCATATCAAAATACCTGAGACAAAAGTTAAAACACAATAAACACAGAATGGAGGGAGCAAGCTTGTTTTCTGCTTCCTTGGAAACTAGGACGCGGAACAATGGCTTCAAACTACAAGAGAGGAGATTCCATCTGAACATTAGGAAGAACTTCCTGCTTGTGAGAGCCGTTCAGCAGTGGAACTCTCTGCCCCGGAGTGTGGTGGAGGCTCCTTTTTTGGAAGCTTTTAAGCAGAGGCTAGATGGCCATCTGTCAGGGGTGATTTGAATGCAATATTCCTGCTTCTTGGCAGGGGGTTGGACTGGATGGCCCATGAAGTCTCTTCCAACTCTTTGATTCTATGATTCTATGTGATTAAAAAGTCAGAGTTAAAACTGGCTGGGTAGGCCTGCCAAATAAGATAGATCTTCAGCTGTGTTTTAAATTCCATCAGCTGATTTAGCTGTCAAAGCTCTTCTGGCAGGTCATTCCACATTCTTTGGGTGGCCAATGAAAAGGTTCTCTGGGGCCCCTTCCACACAGCTAAATAAAAGCCCACATTATCTGCTTTGAACTGGAACATATGGCAGTGTGGACTCAGATAACCCAATTCAAAGCGGATATTGTGGGATTTTCTGTCTTGATATTCTGGATTATATGGCTGTGTGGAAGGGCTGTGGGTGATGGTTGCCAATTGGGTTTGGGCTGGTTGATACCCCCAAAGGACCTCAGTGTCTGGGGCACATTATACTGGAGATGATGCTGTAGGTAACCTGGACACAAACCAACACTTTATAAAGGTAAAGGTTTCCCCCTGACATTAAGTCTAGTCCTGTCTAACTCTGGGGGGTGCACATCTCCATTTCTAAGCCGAAGAGCTGGCATTGTCTGTAGACACCTCCAAGATCATGTAGCCAGTATGACTGCATGGAGTGACGTTACCTTCCCACCGAAGCGGTACCTATTAATCTACTCACATTTGCATGGTTTTGAACTGCTAGGTTGACAGAAGCTGAGCCTAACAGCAGGAGCTCACCCCGCTCCCCAGATTTGAACTGCCAACCTTTCGGTTAGGAAGTTCAGCAGCTCAGCCATTTGGGTACTTTGCCCAAAAACAAATTGGCAACCAGTGGTGTGACTTTACTCTCACTCCTAGATGTTCCTATGACTAATCTAGCTGCTGTGTTTTGAGCAAATTTGAGTTTCCAGTTAGGTACAGAGGTAGCCCAATGTAAAGGACATTGCAGAAGTCCAGCCTTGAGGTTCCCAGCACTTGCACTTCCATCTTTAGGTCTTCCAATTCTAGGAAAGGGTGCAACTGGCAATAAGTTTGAGAATGGCCTACCTGAACTCCACCATATCCATTAGGTGCTAGATAGCGCTCACACTCCAGAGCAATGTCAGCCCAACGCCATTCAAAGAGGTGGACAATAGAGGTCCTTCCAGTCTTTGTATTTGGGTTGTACTGAGCCCAACAAAGCTCAAAAGCCACTAGGAGGAAAAAAATCTTCATGCTGTTCAGATCAATTTAGTCTCTGTGGTTTACTTTGCTGATTTCGGCAACTGTTTATATGTTCCTGCTGCAGCTCAAAGTACACGTCAGTCATGAGACATTCAACCCACAATTGGTTTTATTTAGTTATTTCCCTGTAATCAAAGGTCATTCCATTTGAGGGTTTAAACAACATAACAGGTGAAGATAACAAACCAAATTCTCTGGCTAACAATTTCAAATGCATAGACAAGGATAAGATTCAAGGTGATCTCTCATGCTCAGGTTCTCATCTGAATAGATTAGATAGCATTCCTAAAAAGAACACACTGTGTATTAAACCAACAACATAAGCCTTCATTACTATGCTTTTCTTCATGAAAACTTCCCCAAAAAAGTCAAAGCAAGGTAGAGAACCTTAGCTGATTCCTAAGGACATAAGACTGTGGGTGTATCTACACAGTAGAATGAATGTACTTTGGCACCACTATTAACTGTCGTGGCTCAATGCTATGAAATCCTGGGAGTTTTAGTTTTACAAGGTCTTTAATCTTCTCTGCTTAAGAATGCTGGTGCATTTCCAAACTACAAATCCCAGGATTCCATAGTATTGAGTCATGGCAATTAAACTGTATTAATTCTTTAATTCTGACATAGATGGATTATTGGCCAAATTTGTTCAGAGGCCTACGTCTGAGGCTGAGAAAGTGGGATTTGCCCAAAAATTCTTAGTGAATTTCCATGTTAAGCAAGGACTTGCACCTTCAATCTGAGTCCTAGTCCAACACTCAAACTACTACACCACACTGGCTAATGCAAGGCAATAGACAGCAAACAAAATATTAAAGCATTAAAATAAAAATCGTAAGAGAAATGATGAAAAAGAATAGTAAAGGCAGTCCCCAAATTATGAACAAGATAGGTTCTGTAGGTTTGTTCTTATTTATTTATTTACTTTAGTTATATACCGCTGTTCTCAGCCCGAAGGCGACTCACAGCGGTTCACAACAAGTAAGAACAGCAAAAATTCAATGCTACAGTTGAATTTGTATGCAAGTCAGAACAGGTAAATTTTAAGCTTAACTCCAGCCAAAAAAATATATGTATTAGTTTTAGAAAGCACAGGGAAGGGTTAACACCCGTGTTGTTTGTTTTGTTTTGCTCTTTGTGCCCCTGTTCAGAGGATTTCACCTAACTTTCCGTCAGGCCCAGAAGTGGTGCCTTTTTCCCCCTCGCGCTTTTCCTTCTAGCAGCTGCCAGAGGACGGCTGTGTAGTTAAACTCCCCGGTCTGTTTTTACATTTTATCTAATGTTTTAAATATATGTATTAGTGCATACTAGCATTTTATCAGCTATTATTTCAAACTATTTTAAACTATATCTGCGGAAGACGGGGAGGAAAGAGAAACTAAGTAAGCTGTTGATAATCCTTCAGACAAAACAAGAAGAGACGCGAGGCACAGCTAAAATGCCTAAAAGGAAGAAAAGACTTGCCTCACCAACTGCCCAGCGCTCGCAAAACAACAAGAAGGATTGTAAAAGAAGGAAAAGATCTACAAAGCCAGTGAGTGAATCCATTTTACTAAAACAAAGTTACTTAGAGGACTTTGCAATTGCACACCAGGCACGGCCCTCAAAGACAGCTAGCCCTTTAACCAACAGATTCGAGCCCTTGAGGGATGAGGAGCTGACACCACTCCCTGATCAAGTAAGTCGGAATGTGGGGGTTGAGGAAGAGGCAATATTGAAAACTCCAAAACACATAGAGGACAGAATTGATTTATCATTGCTTTCTGAGCAATGTCTTCTAATGGCAAAGACGCTTGAACTCCTGAGTTCCAAAGCAATAGAGATCCTGGATTTACTTACAAAGCAATCAGAGAAGCAATCACAGATACTAGAGGCCCTATGCAGTACAGGGAAGCAGCAACTCCCTGCAGCAGAGACTGCAGGAGGGAAAGCCAAAAATGGGGAAACCCCATATCAGGCTATGGACACAAACGAACGGGCCCAGAAGGAACAAGACAACAGTTTAATGATACAAAACTTTGTACTAGTATTAGATATTTACCCTTTTAATGGAGCACTGCCCATCTGGAATTCCGTACACAAAGCTAAGAACCATATCAGAGAGATTTTGAAATGCAGGAATACATCTCTAACAGCAGAGAAGCCTCTGATGGGTACTTGGGAATCACAAGGGTGTCACTCCATTTCAAACACGCCTATATTCCTGGATTATTGTTGAGGAAAAAGGCATTCCTAAGCACCTTGGGAATTTTCCCTGTACGCTATTACAAGGACATTTGTTTTAGACCACTGTTTTCAAGGAAACAAACCGGAATGAAACAGCTAAATCCAATATTAAGCTGCAAGGACTTAAATCAGGAGGACGCACCAAACCAAGACAGCACTACTTTTCACAGACAGGTCCAAGATGGTCAGATAAGCAAAAATAGGGAAATGAGTGCAACACCAAACTCATTTTGCAATAGAATGAACACTAATGGCACAGACATGACTACAGACATTATGCTGGAGAAAACAAAAGCAACAATGACTAAAGTTAGTGTGAATACAAGGAGGACAAAAGCTATGATAAATGCCGGCAATGGACAGCACCCGCAGCAACCCAGAGAAGAGAGAAGAGAGACCTTAAACAACTGTGTTTTCACTGGAGATACTGATGACAGTATCTGACAGTGTGGTGGAGGCTCCTTCTTTGGAAGCTTTTAAACAGAGGCTGGATGGCCATCTGTCAGGGGTGATTTGAATGCAATATTCCTGCTTCTTGGCAGGGGGTTGGACTGGATGGCCCATGAGGTCTCTTCCAACTCTTTGATTCTATGATTCTATGATTCTATGACATTGTACCAGCCCCAGATATAAACTGACTGTCAGAATCTTCAATACTAATACAACCAGGTCAACCAGAACATTTAGATACAGTAAGACCTATTCAGATTGTAACCTGGAATGTAGCTGGCTGGAAAGAGACTGTTGATTGTGAACTGGTGAGATTCCTATCTGATTTTGAGATATTAGCATTACAAGAATCTTGGCTAGTAGAAGTGGATGACTCAATACAATTACCCGGATTTCAATGTTGGCATACACCTGCTCAAAAAAGGGGGAATAGGGGCGTGCCTCGGGGGGCCTATGTATATGTATTAAGGAGGAATTACAGTGGCAAGGGGAAGGATTGTTCATGGGGGATGATAATCATAACATATTGGCCATTAAGTCATAAAGAAATTGAGCTTATACCTAACTTTCGGTCCCTGTGATCATCAGATTTTGAATAAATTGGCTTGTTGTGGAAAGGATTGTTGAGAAAGATTCAGTTGAGATAAGTTTTCTTCATGATAACTCTAACCCTAAACTGCACAGGTGCATGATTCCCAATATTGAGCTAAGAGAAGCAGTTCCATTGGTCACAAATTTGTACTTTATTTGACTAATAATACAGGGCCACTGGATTGTACCAGCACAGCAAAGCTCTTTTTTCACTTTTTGTAAGGTTAAAGGCAGGGCTTAAGATGATTAGTAAAAGAACCATGAACATTAATTTACAGACTAGATTTATTCTTCAGCATGTACATATTTTAACATTAAATAGCTTTTTAACACAGAGAGAAAAGTCAGTGTTGATTACAATTTGGCTTCAACATGAATTGCAATGAATGGATCTTCAGCTTGGCTACTAATCTGAAAATCACCCAGACCACTGGCAGCAATGTGGATTTGAATTCCAGTGCAGATGTTGCCTTCCTTTTGTCCAGAAATAACATCGCAGTAAATGCCTCCAGGAAGACCCGTTGGGAGGCTTCTTGACAAGTTCCTGTAGAAAAGCAAAGATTTTCTCTGTATTTATGCTCTCCGATGAATGGGGTTTACATGGTAATGCCTGGTTACCATGCTGCACCAAGGCAAAGTTTTAAATCGGGAACGAGGAGTCTGGTGTTTTGATGTTCGGTTAGAAATGTAATACAACTGTCTGGTTGCCCCGCCACGATAGATAAATAAATAAATAAATAAACTACCATTATATAGTTAGTGATCATGGGAACAGCAGCCCAAAAAATAAGTGAAGGGCAGCAAATAACCTGCCCAATCTAGATCATTTGTTTCCCTGAGTATATTTAAATTATCTGTCATATCAACAACGGTTTATTGTGTGATCACATCAATTAGATCTGTGTTGGTTGGACTCACAGCAATTAGCATCATCTCCTGAAGGGGAGATCTTAGGTCAAGTTTATGGAGGGAAGTGCATCCATCCATCCCAGGCTTTAGCAACGTTGTGGTCAAGATTTGAAATGGCCAGCTCAATTAGAGAAAATATGTTTAAAATGCTTTACAGAACCTACATAACTCCAGAGTTACTAGCTAAAATAGAAAAAACAGGACGAGGGGTTTGCTGGAGATGTAAGAAGGTGAAGGGATCATTTTTCCACACATGGAGGACCTGTAACATAGTTAAAGAATTCTGGAAAAAAAATGGTGAAAGAAACAAATAAAATGATTAGCAAAAAAAAAAAAATCAAGAAAACCCCAGAAATGTGCTTATTAGGAATATTTAGAAGGTGTATTAGTACAGGAGATGAAGAAATTTGTCAGTATTGCTTTGTTGCTGCGAGACTAATAATAGCTAAAACATGGAAGAGGGGAAAAGAGTTAACTATTAAGGATTTGAGAAATAAATTAGTAGATTATATCCAAATGGCCAAACTGACAAATAGCAGCAGAGGAGGAAATAATGAAGAATTTGTAAAAAAAAAAAAAATGAAGTTGGTAATTGGATATCTTGAAAAGAAGACAAGAGTAGATTTGAAGATTGCCATAAAGGGGATTTAGTGAAAGAAGACATGTGGGTAGTTGTGGGTTAGTTATGTGATCCATACGGAGTGGTGTCAGAGGTCATGGGGGTTGGGTTCACGGGTGTGGCGTTAGAGGGACAATAAATGTTAAGGTATAATAACTGTACAGTCAAAGTTGATTTTTCATATGTTTAACGAGCGCTGACTGTATACCATTCAGTAAACGTGCATATTCTTTTGTATATCTATTTTCTGGTTGGTTTTTGTTTTTTTGTTTTCCTCTGGTGTCAGTTTTGTTTCCTGTGTGCACCATAAATCAATAACAATTTTTAAAATATTTGAAATGTGTGGTGAATTTTATATTCAGCACCTGGCCAGCCAAGTCAAAACAGTTTAGAGTATATTGTTTCCTTTCAGTCAGATAAATGGTGTATTTTCTCTTGGCTGCCTATCCCTCTGCTTACTGTCCCTATGACAGAACTTAGTGAATTGCCCACATGATCTTATTCTCTCCCCATACCCCAGAGTATTTTTGCCTTGCCAATAAGTGAAATTTGCCATCTAGTAACTGAGCATGGAACTAGACACTAATTGTATGTATGTATGTATTTCCTTATTTTATTTATACCCCATCTTTTTCCCTCTGGAGACTCAGTGAGGCTGACAACCACATCATCTGGTCAGAGTTTAAAACAAATTGAATATCAAAATTATAAGAAAATACACAATTAAGTAGTACTGTATGGACTGAGCTTAAAACACAGCTAACATATAATAAATACAATAAAATGAAATTGAAAACTCACATCCCCCCAGATCCCACCCACAACCACACCATCAGTATACCCGTCATCCTTTCCCAAATGCTTGGCCTCTTTTCTCACATCTTTCATTTTTCTGGCAGACAAAGATGTTTCTGTTCAAGCAGATTGTTGTAAATGCTATCAGTGGGGACAATGAGATGTGGGCTCTATTTTTATTTAATGCTTTAACTTTTGCATCTTATAAAAACAATTGTATACGTTTAAAAATTGCTTTCAAAACTAATTTATTTTAATAGATTTTATCTGTGAGCCACCTTGGGTTCTATTTTGCAAGAAAGGAGTGCATCCAATAAACAAATAAATGAACAAAATGTCAAGCTGTAGTTGGTTAAATCTATGGATGTAGTGTCTGTGGATACATAAGCACAAATGTACACAACAAAAAGGTCTTCATGTGGCCCTCCAGAGTTTTTTGTAACTATAAATCCCATCAGCTCTTATCACTATGTTGGCAGATGGTGTTGTAGTGTAATATTGTCTGGAAGACTACAAGTCATCCAGCTGTGACATAGGAAATAGGCATACAATGAACAGGGAGCAAAATCCATATGTTCATAAAAGAGTCAATAAACTTTTTATATATTTTTGGGCACTACAGCATTGAAAACAAAGTATTTTGTACCTGTCATCGTTATTAAACACAATAAATCCTTTAGCACCACGCCCAAATGCTATCTGGTTGTTACTGTTGTCCCACCAGTTTGTGATAGGCTGCCAATGTACAACATTTCGGAAAATCACCATATTCCTAGGGGAAAAATTGATCAACATAACAAATTGTAGCAAGGTCTTTTTTTTTTTTTTGCTAAAATTACACAAATCATTTGAATACTAATAATCAGAAAAACAGAGGTGTCCTCAAGTGATGTCAGATCACGTATAACAAATTTAAGTGTTGATAAACCACTGATGCTCACCGTATTTGATTCCAACGATGTTCGCAAACCCAGCCATTCCCACAACTGCCATCAGGATTAATTGTAACAGGTTTAATTGTTCCATCACTATTGCTGGGTGGTCCAACCCAGTCATTCAAGTCCTTTTAATGAAAGAGGACATTCAGGCAATTAGATATGAAATGAAATTGTAATAAGAAGACAACAACATGGAAATTATTTTGCCAGGAACTGGGACACACACACACGTATTACTTACAATTATAATATGGAACACTGTAAGACCAAACTTTTCCTTTAAGAAACTCTACATTTTGAATTTCACAATCAAAATGTGAAATACATAATCCAGTTCATACTTAGATAAATCATTAAAGCAGGTGTTCTATGGATTACGAAAAACACTAAATTACTTGATTTTAATTTATTCAGTTTAAATGGCTCACTATCAACAAACCTTCCCTGCATAATGGCAAATCAATACCAACAAAATAAAATGTCAATAAAATATAACAAATAATATGAATGGGAGCATAATATTATCTTCTAATAGGGGGAACATACAAAATAATTCACGGTTCAGACTAAAGAGTGCAAGGAGAGAGGAATGAGGTTTACATCTATCAAAGCACAAGGAGCCAGGGAACTTCTACTCCACTGTGAGGATGTCATTCTTGCTATCTATTGAATACAATGGTAAATTTGGCTATTAGGGAAATGTATAGAAAATGGGATTCAGCAGGCAGATGAGCTCCCTCTATCAGCTTCAGCTCCTCATGCGGGGACATGAGAGAAGCCTCCCACAAGGATGATAAAAACATTAAATCATCCAGGCGATCCCTGGGCAACGTCCTTGCAGACGGCCAATTCTCTCACACCAGAAGCGACTTGCAGTTTCTCAAGTCACTCCTGACATGACAAAAAAAAGCAGCATAGTTATCACATTGAAACTATTCCATTGTTAGGATGCCCGCAATCAGAAAGTTCTCCTTTTAGGCTGCATTGACTCACTTCACGTTGCTATGACACACTGTCTAACATACCATCTTCATAAGGGTTAACATTAGCATCCCCATCAATTGCCACCTGAAACATTTCAACCCCCAATCACACCTAATTTTCAAGCTAGATTTTGATGTTTAAATTCTCAAATTTGAGATTATATTTTCAATAGGATAGTCAAGGGGTGAGGAAGGGTCCAGAGCATGGTATGTCATTACACTCAAACATATCAATTATTTAGTTCAAAGGGAACTTAACTGAAATACAGGAAGGGAAGGTCTTTGTTAGGACCCCAAATAGGAATGGGAGGACCAGACCATCCTTCCTTGCCTCGTTTACTCACAATATGTATCTTCTTCCATATTTAAAAACTAGAACTATGTGCTGTGTATTGAATGAAATGTATTTTTTTACTATAAGGGTACTGTATAGAAAGTGGAATTTATGGTAACACTCCCCGGATTCAAACTGCTGACCTTTCGGTCAGCACATTCATCAGCTCAGTGGTTTAACCCGCTGCACCACCAAGGGGTGATATCACCCCTTGGTGGTGCAGCGGGTTATACCACTGAGCTGCTGAATGTGCTGACCGAAAGGTCAGCAGTTTGAATCCGGGGAGCGGGGTGAGCTCCTGTAGTTAAACCCAGCTTCTGCCAACCTAGCAGTTTGAAAACATGTAAATGTGAGTAGATCAATAGGTACAGCTTCTGGGGGAAGGTAACTGCATTCCATGCATTCATGCTGGCTACATGACCTTGGAGGTGTCTATGAACAACACCGGATCTTTGGCCTAGAAATTGAAATGAGCACCACCTCCCAGAGTCGGACACAACTAGACTTAATGTCAGGGAAAACCTTTACCTTTACTATTAATCACACTGAAATTTTCCTCCTTAGGCCCAGGTTTAGAAGATCTAAAGTGAAAATGTATCAAAGGGGGGAACACAATATACTAAAACATTCCACCAGGCTATCTATTAATATTAAAAACTTGTGCCTGAGTATTCTTGTTTTCTTTCATCTCCCCAGCTCTATTTCCTTTCGCCTTTGTCTTTTTAAAAATTCTAACTCTGAGGGCAATTGCTGTCTTGTTTTTTTGTTTTTTACAACTGATATACAAGTAATTTTGAGACTTATTCTAACTTTAGGAAAGGGTGTATCCACTTACCATAAACAAAATGACTTAACTAGTTCAAAAGAATTCTAACACAAAACCTCATCTTTCTCATAGCTACTATGCAGCCCTGGTCTCTAATACACGAAATCTGTGGTCACAGGACAACAGACACGAACAGATTAGATACCTGCAGGACTATATAACTTAAATACCTGAGGGCAATGTGATAAAACCACATTCGTAAAATTCACTCACTGGAATCAGCCAAATTTTTATCTTCTTGCAATGTTCTAAGTCACGCTATTTTTTCCAAACAGCTATATTCTAGTTCTGATAGAATTGTTTTCTGTCAGTTGTTTCAATCCAGGGAAAGTTAGTCATGATTAAATCACAATGATATAAAGGATGCAATGAACCGCACAGTTCAATGCAAATTAAGCACAGGTAACTTTCTTTCAACTGAATCCTCAATATTTCTTAGTATTTCAATCCATTTTCCAAGTGCTGCTACAATCCCTTAAGACAAGAGGTAAACACAACCAGCAAATAGCTATATATTTCTAGTGAGCCAGTAGAGAGTTACCTTTCCGTGCTGGATATCTCTTGGCCACCTGTAGCTTGATATTATTCTTGTAAACCCATAGGGATGAGCAAGCATAAACCCAACTGCCATTTTATAAAGTCTGTAAAATCGATAAGAGAGATATTACAGCACAGAGAAAATACAAAAACTGATTATGTCCCAGGCTGGTGTGACAAGCAGCATATCTGTATGGCAAACACATGTCAGTTGTTTATAAATTTCTGATGATAATCTTTTCTGGGAGTAAATCAAACTGACTTCTAAGGGGGCATGTATAGAAGTGGGTTGCAAAAGGTGTTCCTTTCCCAAAGCAAAGACAGGGCACATGTGACTCTCAAGAAGATGCTAGACTTCAGTTCCTGTCAATTGTGAAGAATGAACCTTGTGGAGCATATTTGAAAAAGAATACAAACAAATTCTAAAAGCACTCCTCCTCAGCACTGAACAATGCATTTCTTTGAGCAAACATCTTTTAAAGAAGCTCAAATTCATACTTCATATATTTTGAAGAAAGAATTCTTCAGTGATAGAACCTATGAAATTCATTCAGAGCAGATCGTTATATACTACTATGGACAAAGCCATACATCTAACATCTGGCTCTTTTCATACCTGTGAACAGTTCTGCGTGCCACTTATCTCATGTATCTGAGTGAAAACTAAGAAAAAATGTAGGTAGAAGGAAGAAATTGACCTTCAGTAGGAATATCATAGTCCTATATATACTATATACTATACTATATACAGTATATAGCATATAATATATATATATAAAACAATATAATATTATATAATACTAATATTATGAATGATGTATTAGTACTATGCTAATAATGTAGTATGTTGTATGTACATATGACTTGTAAGCCACTCTGAGTCCCCTTCGGGATGAGGAGGGCGGCATATAAATGTTGTAAATAAATAAATAAATATCATTTATAATTGGAAGTGAAATCAATTGTGGTTTCCAACATAGTGATGTGCAACAAGTTGATATCTGCAACCCATGGCCAAGAACAGCAGGTGAGATGCAAGAGGGTTAGGAAGCCATCAAAGCTGTACATTTTAAGCAGGGATCATTCTATCTGTCTGTGAGAGATTTCCATCCACATGCAGCAATTCCACATATGCATGGAGAAACAATCTGTTGTGACCATTATTCTTGACATGTGAGGATTTGCAGGGCCCAACTGCCTTTGAGGCAGAATACATTTCCTGATCCAAGCAGTGGATCTGGAAGAGTAGGCAGCAAACCAAGTATTCCTGCCTCTGCTGCCTGCTGTCACATCACTGAAGCAAGGCATTATGGCAAGAATCTCAAAGAGCCTTGCCAGTTACCCTCCAGAACAGCTGCCCATGCAGAGATTTGCTCCGAGGAGGCTTCAAAGTCAGGCATTTGGGTAGGCGGGCTCTGTGGAGAATCACATCTAGTGTTGAAAGTGGTTAATACAGCTCTCCCTGGTACTATGCACTTCCTCAATGGGCAACACAAGTGACTCAGGGTGAAGGCAAACTCATTTCAAAAAACAGGATATCCTGCATCACTGCTGAAGGACAGAAAAGCAAAACAAATGTAATATTGCCCTCAGTTCCATCTAGTCTCTTTTTGTATATCTTAAATATACAATACCTTGTATTTCTAATTCTCCTGAGATATGTTCCTTGACATTTCTGAGAAAAATGAGGAAATTCCCAACATTTCCCTGTAGTTCACACTACTGAGATCTAGAAAGCTCATAGCACAGAGAGCCAGCATGGTGTACCAGTTTGAGTGTTGGACTATGACTGGAGACCAGGATTTGAGTGCCTGCTCAGCAAAGGAAACCCGCTAGATCAGACAACGGCAAACTCTGGTCCTCCAGGTGTTTTGGACTTCAACAATTCCTAACAGACAGCTGGGATTTCTGGGAGTTCAAGTCCAAAACACCTGGAGGGCTTAAGTGTGCCTTGAGGATATCACTCTCTCAGCCCCAGAACATAGATTCACAGATAATAGATTCACTTCAATGTTGCCCTAAGTAAAAAATGATTTGAAGCACAATAGTCACAAGATCCATGTGGCTCTGTTTTTTTAATGCTTATCAATGGCATAAATGAGGGCATCTACCTAAACAGTATATGGCTCTGTGTAATTTTGACCCTTAGGAAATGTTCTCAGAGACTTTTGTTTTATGTGATTTAGGAAGTCAATTTCAACACATATAGAAATTCAATACTTTAAAAATTGTAACAGCTTTTCTGTTCCATTTTCAACAGGTTATTTACCTGGGGTTCCAGAAAGTGAGGATGGAGGCCCCACCAGCACCATGTCCCCTCTGGTTGTCATGGTTATCTACAAAGACAATGGCTTTGTCAGAAGGCATCAAACTCCAATTCTCTCCCAAGCTCCTAAATCGTGAAGAAATAATTAGAACTTCCTTTACTACAGACACTTTCAGCAAGTTTTAAAAGTCTTCTAAGTATAGGCCGAGAAGCAGATCTCTGGAGTTCTTTATCTATGCTCTGTAACTGCTATACATTAGGGGTTCTGCAGATGAGGGAGAGTTATTTATATTGGGGGAGAGGATCCTGAAAAACTGGATTTCATGCACAGAGGAAGATGCTGTTTTGCACATGAGGCCATTTGGGACTAGAGGGCATCCAAAATCATTACTTCAAAGTTGCCATCTTCTCTCCATTCCATTTGTGGAGGACAGTCCCGAGTTGTGTGCCATATCTAAATTCAGTCACTCGACCATTTCTGAAGTATTCGGAGCTTTGGACGCCTTCACCACCTAAGTCAATTACCTGGAAAAAACATACAAAAGACTGGAGAAGGAATACAATTGTGTTTTCAATGTGTTTCAAAACTAGCCTTTTTCTATTTAAGGCAACACAGCTGAGAACTGCATATTTAGAGTCAATTGGGGTAAACTGCAGAGGTGATGCAGATACTTGATTTGGATCAGGATTTTGTTAACAGCTTGTTTATTTTAACTTATGTTGTATTGTATGTATATGTGTTTGTCAAATGTTTTTGATATGGCCAATAGGCTAATCAATAAAATGTACTTGTAATTCTAAAGGGGATTGGACAGGGTGTTCTTTGTGCTGGCTTCCAACTCTATGATTCAATCTTTCTTGACACTGGTCCCAAGGAGCTTACAGCAAGGTTAATACAAAATACAACTAAAAACCTGATTAACACAGACATTTAGAACACATTTAAACTATTACATTAAACAGCCCATAACGTAAAACAGTGTAAAATTATTTAAGAATAAAAAGAAAAATGACTACTGTGAACAGTGGTAACAAATCAGGACATGAGTCAGATGACTACACAGACTTTTTAGTCTTTCTATCTCATTGGGTACTTTCTCACTAAAAGTAATGGACCTCAAAAAACTTAATCAGGATGGATTCAAAGTTTCTCATCCAAGCAAATCCACAAATACTACTTTTGTATACAACGCTTTAAAGTTTATTTGAGAAAGGAAAATAAGAACTGCCTTGCTAGATTAGATCAAGAGGTCTATCCAATCTAGTATTCTAGCTCAGAAGGCCTACAATTTCTTATCAATTTATCTGGCAGGAATTCCACCCAATTCAGTTAGGTTTATTTCTTACTGAGAGTACATGCATAGGATTGTTCCGTAGATAATTTCAAGCAAACCACTTTCCTCGCAGCCTCATCTTCCCACATATCAGTAATAAAAATACAGCATCAAGGAAAGGAAGAGCCCTTCTTACCTTATGAAATGGTTGCAAGAATTACAAAATAACACCTGTGAAATGATTTGAATACTGCATGGATATTATTATTTATACTAAATTAATGAACTTGCATTATTATGTCATTACTAGATTCACCAACCTCCTGGTAGATGAAGGGCCGCGAACCTTTGGTAAACCACCGTGTGTTTAGATTGTTTACTTTGCTTAAAATAGCATTAATGTCCTTGGGCCATATGTGCTTCGAAGCATCAATTCGGAAACCTGCAACACCCAGATCAATCAAGCGGTTCATGTATCCAGCTATTTTTGAACGTACGTCTTCTCTGCTTTGTGCAAGGTCAACAAGACCAGATAGACGGCAGTTGCGAACCTGTACATACAGGGAAAATGGTCAATGAATCACTTGCCAAAACACAGATATTCAATCCTCAAAGATTCGAGATGGCTGCTGCAAACCTACAAAATGAAATAGTCTCACGTTTGGATCCTAATATTATTTTATTTTAAATCAGAAGTGTCATTTGATGGCTCCTGAGATATTGTCTCAGGAATCATAAAAAAGATTAACTCTTCCTCTGAAATCAGAGACACGAGCTCTGATCTCATGCTGGGAGATCTATGCTTGTACAAAATGTCATGATTTTTATTTGTGCAATGTGGAGGGGAAATAGAAAATATTGCGGCTGCGGTATGAGAGGATTCACAGGCCCATTGGATCTTTAGTGTCCAAAGCCCTCTTGCTACATGGAAACATGTAACAGCGCAAGGATAAATGAAAGACTCTTTTCCTATTGCAAGCAATGAGTGGGAAAGGCTGAAATACAAAGACAAATGCCAGAGAAAGAATGGCAAATAGTATAATTTGCTCCCTTCTGTCCTGTTGATAGGGACCTGTATTGATTAAGCTACTTGTCTTCCCTCTGTTTGAGGTGTGCACAACACAGTTAAACTGCGTCATTATCATATATACATCATCAACTCAAGCCTAAGGATGCATTAAACACTGTTACATCAGCACCACACCTCATTTAATTGAAACGGAATCATACTAAGGAATCCAGAATTTGTAGTTTGATGAGGTATTTAAAGTTCTCTACTAGAAAGCTGTAATACTCTCCCCAAACTTTAGCTCCCCATATTCCTTAAGAAAGAAAGAACTGTGGATTTACTTAAGCCTATACTTATAATGTGAACAGGCACTCAGGATAGCTTAGTGCTTCGTAAGGTGTGTGGATTAGACTTCTATAGCTATGATTTCTATACACTTCACCAAAATACAAATCTCAGGATGACAATTAAAATGGTATTAACCTGATAAAAGTGTTTAATGCAGATACACCATTGTATGGTGTGGTTATAAGCACTCAAAATGGGGAGTCAGCAGTATACAGTACATGCCAGCTTGCATAGCCTTGAGCATTCCTTTAACCCATTACAATGTACAGCCAGGGTGGCCAAAATATACCTTGCTGTTTTAGGTCCAGCAGAGGAAGATGACACTTGCAAAACTAGGAATGACTTCTAATCAACTCCAGTTTTGGAAAAAAAAATCCTTAAACACTACCTCATTGAGAAACACCACTCATCTAGCCAGAACCAATGATTATTTATTTTATTTATGATATTTATATTCCATCCTTCTCATCCCGAAGGGGACTCAGGGCAGATCACAGAACACATATACGGCAAACATTCAATGCCGATTATACAATGACAAGACAGACAATAGATAGGCTTTTCCCATTTTTCGGCATCTCTGGAGGCTCTGCTCAATTCCAGCCACAGGGGGGTGCTATCACTCCATCTCATTGCCAAAGACTTTTCTTTGTTTGTAAACTTCCTCCTTTTTTTCTGATCAAACACCGTACCTAAAATACCTTCCCGCTTAATGCAGTTCCTATTTATCTACTCACATATGTTCTCAAACTGCTAGGTTGGTAGAAGCTGGGCTACAGGCCAGGCGCTCAAGCCCTTGACCTGGGTTTCGAACTGTCAACCTTCCGGTTGGCAAGATTAGTTGCACCTTGGTGATTAACCTGCTGTGCTAAAGCCCGGCCCAATTATTATCATTTTTGTTATATTTATAATTATTTGTACCCCACTTCCTACCCTGCAAAAAGAGAGTGACATCTACCTGGATAGGATCACTGTAATTTTCAATATCCCCACTGGGTGTCTTACATATTCGATCATTAAAATCAAAGTTAAAGTAGGGGACAGCAGGGAAATATCGCACACCAGCATCGAAGTAGCTCTCACAGATCCCACGGTATCCAGAGCCAGCCCCAGAGCCACACATATGATTGATCACAGCATCCACATAAATATTGATCTGTTAGAGATACACAAGATTACATGAGATACATAAAGAAGTGCTTGAAAGTGATTATGGCAGTACATTTCAGATTAAGAAAATCTAACTATATACACCATTTTTTTGTGTGAGAGAATTGGCCGTCTGCAAGGACATTGCCTAGGGGATGCCTGGATATTTTACCATCCTATGGGAGGCTTCTCTCATGTCCTCACATGGGAAGCTAGAGTTGGCAGGTGGGAGAGCACCCCATTCTCCGAATTCAAACCGCCAACCTTTCAGTCAGCAGTTCTGCCGGCTCCTATCAAAATGCAAACCACATTAAATATCTGAATACAGCCTGCAATATGAAGGTCTAATAAAAAGAAAATAAAACTATGAAGTTAAGGGAAAGGTTTTCCCCTGACATTAAGTCCAGTTGTGTCTGACTCTGGTGGTTGGCAGTAATTCCATTTCTAAGCCAAAGAGCCGGCGTTGTCCATAGACACCTCCAAGCTCATGTGGCTAGCATGACTGCATGAAGCGCCATTACCTTCCCACCAGAGCAGTACCTATTGATCTACTCACATTTGTATGTTTTCAAACTGCTAGGTTGGCAGAAGCTGGGGCTGACAGCAGGAGCTCACGCTGCTCCCCAGATTTGAACCTGCGACCTTTCAGTCAACAAGTTCAGCAGCTCAGCAGTTTAACCCACTGCACCACCCAGGGTTCCCGGCGTACTTCAAAACTATGAAGTACATGTTTAATCCAAATTGTGGCAGATGTTCTATAATTTTGGCAGGCAGCTGGTGGATCACACATGTAAATATAGCTCCTCTAACAGCCTTTAATTTAGCCCAGCCTGCCTGAAATTTGACATATATGATCACAATATTCCTTTTGCACTGAATATATTCTATTTATTTAGTTTGCAAAGGGACATTTGAATAAAGTCTATTCCGTTACACATAACAGATTCTGATACATAAGATTTAAAAAACGTGGGATCGTGGAGATAATTTCCTGCACAGAACTGGATAAAGCATGCATTTCATCAGACAAAGTTCATAAAAAAACACATTTCCACTTATACAATAAGGGTTTACCTTTAACCTGAAATCTTTGACTCAGCTTATTGTCAGAAAAGTCACCAAAAGCCACTTACTCCAACATTGTTGCATCTCGTCACCATGTCTCGAAATGCATTTTCATTTCCAGAACGTGAACACAATTTGTAACTGATAGGCTGATACCTTTCCCACCATGGTCTCCAGGGATTCGTTATAACCAGGTTTTCATTGGGAGGAGAAACCTATCAATACAAAAAGCAAGCAAGCAAGAAGAATATAAAAACAAATTGCTCAAGCAGACTTAACATTTCATCTGTATTACATGATTTCAGAAGTATGAGCACACTTCAACTATTGTGGCTCCCAGGTTTTGTTGTTAGTAAGGGACTAAAAAGTTTCTGGTAGAGAGCCATAGACTGACACTAAGATGTCTTTTAATACAACTCCCATCATGATTGAAGGGAGGCAATGATGACTGGGGCTGAGTGAAGCTAGAGTTCAACAATATCTACAGAATTTCCCTCAATCAAGTTCTGTTGATACAGATAAAGAATTTGTGACTCTTTCAATGATGGCAGAGTGCAACTCCCGTAACCCTTTATCACTGGCTGTTATGGGCTAATGGAAAGTTGAAGCTCAACAACTTCTAGGGCATATTTTGCCATTATCAAAGAGAAAAAAGTACCATCCAACCTGAACTCCTGCAAATCCATTTGGTGCTAAATAACGTTCACATTCATCAGCCACATCCGCCCAGCGCCATTCGAAAAGGTGGACAATAGACGTCCTTACAGGTTTTGAATCTGATTTGTAATGCATCCAGCAAAGTCCAAAGGCTGCTAGGAGGAGGAGCAACAAGCCATTCTTGTTGCCTCTGCCAATCGGTGACATTCTTCTCAAGAGCCTTCTGCATTCCTAGTGGAGAAGAAATCCCAAAAGACCTATTGCACACCTCAACTGCCCCCTCAGAGGTGGCAGAATGTTATTTTAAAACAGCATATTGTAGGCAAGAGGCACTGCAGGCTTCCCAGCGTAATGGAAATGCTGACAAGCTAGACAGAGGACACTGCTTCTGTTTGTCTGTTGGGGTCAATACACTAGATAAGATGCAGTTCGCATTTAATTACATTGTGTCAGTTAGGGACTAAACCTGGAGGGTGAGAGGCCTGTGGACTATACAAAGGCAAAAGGTCAAGCAAATCTGGATTACTTTATTTTTACTACTTTTGGGGACTATAGGTACACCTCAGTTAATGAAGTAGATATATTCCTAGCTTTTACTTCTTTAACAGGAATGTTGAAACCTGAGACAGAAATAACATAGTTAAGTGACAAAAGGTTCATAACCCATAAAAAAGAAGAGCAGTTAAATGTGCTTCAGAAAAGTTTTCAATCGAAATTAACACTATGCAAATGAGACAACTGAGCCAGATAAACTTTGCCTAAGAAAAGATAACATTTTGAAACTTTGAGAGATCTCTTGAAAGGTCCTTTTTACAAAGTCCTTTTAGCATACTCCCAGCTTCTGTTTTCCTTTCCTTTCCTCTTCTAGCTGAAAGTTTTTTTATGCATTGGCATTGGGAAGATCCTGAAGCAAGGCTGGAAATACAGACTTTTCGTGTCAAATTGCAGCAGTCTCTTTGCAGCAAGAGATGTAATAATGGGATTCTGCTTTAGCTAATTCTACTGTTGCTGTGTGTGCCTACCCACAACAGACAAGGTAAATAATGTTTGCCTCCAGAATTCTATGCAAAGCATGTTGAAAAACAGAACAAAGAAAAAAAGGTGGAAATTACATATGTCTGCCTTAACAGCCGTCTACATTATGTTAAAGGAACATAGACATATGAATCTGGCCTCCAAAATGGAAATCATAAGAAGAGGGAGCTGACTCATAGAATCATAGAGTTGGATGAAACCTCATGGGCCATCCAGTCTAACACCCTGCCAAGAAGCAGGAAAATGGCATTCAAAGCACCCTTGACAGATGACCATCCAGCCTCTGCTTAAAAGCCTCCAAAGAAGGAGCCTCCGCCACACTTTGGGGCAGGGAGCTCCACTGCTGAACAGCTCTCACAGTCAGGAAGTTATTCCTAATGTTCAGATGGAATCTCCTTTCTTGTAGTTTGAAATAAGCTTCTTTATCAGAGCCCTTGATAAATTAAGTATGCATGTACTGATTCCAGAATGCACAGCAAGGATTCGTAATAAGAAAACTAAGGGTTCTATCACACTATGCTGTTATGGCACTATTATTCCACTTTAATGTATATTATAACATTATGTAGAATTCTGGAGTTTGTAGTTCAGTGAGGCCAAAGAGCTCTTTGGTTGAGAATGCTAAATGCCTTTCACATACTGCAGATCCCAGGATTCCATATAAGGTTGCCATCCTAGTTAAAGTAGATTAATAGAGCTGTAACAATGAAGGCAAAAGGAAGAGGGGCCGACCAAGGGCAAGATGGATGGATGGCATCCTTGAAGTGACTGGACTGACCTTGAGGGAGCTGGGGGTGGTAACGGCCGACAGGGAGCTCTGGCGTGGGCTGGGCCATGAGGTCACGAAGAGTCGGAGACGACTGAACGAATGAACAACAACAACTCGAATGCTTAGAGCCGCCGCAAACTAGCATCCTGCGAGAGCAAACTGTGCCAGCACGTACATGACGTCATAAGACTCCGCCTCTCTCTCCGCCTCTTTCGCCGCCTCTTTCTCCATGCCAGCGTGGTTTTTCCTTTGCTAGGGCAGCGATGCCAGCGCACTCTCGCTGTTGAATTCTGTCAACAACGAGAGTACGCTGGCAACGCTGCCCTAGCAAAGGAAAAACCACGCTGGCACGGAGAAAGAGGCGGAGAAAGAGGCGGAGTCTTATGACGTCATGGACGTGCTGGCACAGTTTGCTCTCGCAGGACGCTAGTTTGTGGCGGCTCTAAGAAATTACAACCCAGGATAGCTCGTCAGACCTGACTGCCTGCCCCAGGTTCCGAGCTCTGATGTCCCAACATTTCTGAAGCAGAACAGGTCATGTGAATCAGAGGGACTACAAAATAGATGTGGAATATGTGCCTTCCTCCACCGATGTTTCTGGGCTGGACTTTTCACTCTCAGTTAAGATAGCTAAGCTAATGAGATCTTCAGCCAGCAACCCTTGAAGGACCACACATTGACCCTATTTGGATTATGGCTACTCTATGTATATTATCCAGCTGGCATTTCACTGAGAGTGGTTTATAAATACAACAACAAAAAAGTCAATAAAATGCTAAACAACAGTAAGAAAAGTATGAAAACTAACATGAAATTATTACAGAACTGAAGCATATTAGACATTTAAACATTGCACTGCTCCCAAACATTACACTGTTGGATTGCTGCAATACTGCAAGCAGCTACAGTATTATTCTTGTACACTCATCTTCCCTAATGTATCCTCCAGATGTCTTGGGCTACATATTCCAGCATCCCTGGCCAAGCTGATTGAGTGTGATGGGATATATACTCCAAAACAACTGAGTGTTTATCAAATTAGAGGCAGCTGCATTGGTTAGATGCTGCTTTTTCTTGTGTGTGTTTTAGAGCAATATAAGAAGCCAAATAACATTTCATTTTAACACTCCACTATGCCCAAACAGACCTCTAAAGCAAGAATGGAGAACGTATGATCATTCAGGCTGCAATTCCCACAGACACTCCCCACTAATTAAAGGCTCATGGGGATTGCAATCCAACATCTGGCTAGCCAAATGTTCACCTCCTTCAAGCAATCTTCTCTAAACCAATGCTCTCCAGATGTGTTGGCCTACAACTCCCAGCTCAGAAACCAGGTAAGGAAAGGCTGCTTCAACCTACCTTTCTCTTTTGTAAATTAGCCGTTAATTTTGAGATTAAAATATATGCAAACTATATGAAATACCTTAGAGAAAAGAGCTTGAGTTCTTTTCATCAAATGCAGCTGAGTCACACCTTGTAATGTCTCTGAGATTGCTTGGACTCTAGCGTTCATTGCAGGCTGCCTGGAATCTGATTTTGAAACAATAATGTCAGATTGGAATTTCATAGGCAATGCATGGAAACTTCCCCCAAATGTGACAGACTACAAAAGATTAATCCCTGCATCAAGAAACAGTGTGGGAATCCAGAGAAGTATGCCTAATGTACATTCAACTGGTACAGGAGGGGGGAAATCATTCTTCAAATGATACCTTGGGATTAGAAGGTAGATCTTTGATGAGTCTGAAACCATGTCTTTGCCAATCAAAGGTAGCAGGGTGCACATCAAGTATCTAATTCAAATGAATAAAGGAATAAGGAAAAGGAACCTTTTCAAAAGCCAGTTCTTAACCTCAATCAGTCTGTTGTTTAGCAGGAAAATTGAACGAACTCTAAAATCTGGTCAGTGTACTGGAACAAAGGATATGGGAGAGCCAGAAAAGTCATAGAAATTGTCAAAAAAAAGTCATAAAGAGGCTGTAGTCACTCTCTTATGACAAAAGGTTACAACTTGTGGGCCTCTTCAGTTTAGAGCAAGTTGACTATGGGCAAAAATAGATCAGAAGTGAGAGTAGATTGGATTTCCCCGTCTTGTAATACTGGAGACAGCACAGAGTAATCATCTAAGTGCTGAACTATTTATGACTTTTGGAGGCCAGAGACTGCATCCCTGATCTGCCATGGAAACATCATTGGATGACCTTGGGTAAGTCATAGCTCTCAGTTCAAAGGGGAAAGAATGGCAAATTTCTTCTGAATCGATCTTGCCAAGGAAAGCCAATAATAGGGTTGTTGTAAGCAGCAGTCAACCTGCTTTATCTATTTGCAACCTCATCACATGGATGACACCCCCCCCCCCCACGCGCCGATACTGCTTTGCCATGAGAAAGCAGTGCTGAAGCAGCGTGAGAGCCTTCCCATGTTAGGAGGGAAGTGTTCTACAATACTTCCACTCCTATTTGGGGCGGGGGCTTCAACAGGAAGTCCAGCGACGCTGTGTGGTGGACAGCATCCCCATCCGTCGCTGACTGTCCATTTAGAAAGCTAAAAAATAAGTGTGATGAGGTCCTTGGTTTTAACTTATACTGTATACTCTTCACACATCAAAAGAAAGCCAGGGCATAAACTAAAGGGGGAAAAAGAATGAACGTGCTGTTGTAGTCAAATCTTGCTTGTTGACTTCTCATAGGCAACTGGTTGCCCATTTTGAATGAATTTTGACTAAAAACCCTCTGGTCTGATTTAAACATGAATTTCCTTACGTTCTGATTGATGGAATAACAGCAGGAACACAAGGATTCATGCACTTAATCTTATTGGTTTCTGGAAACTCATGTACAGGATTTGTTTTTGCATGTGGTTTGTCATTGTGCAGAAGCTTTCTTCTGCAGGCGTATGTCCTCAAGCTGGATAGAAGTCACAATCCATTTCACATTGGGTTTTTATACTTCAAAGCAATTGTCCACCCACTGCCTCAAATCCAAAAACCCAGAGGAAGAGAAGAATTCTGCTTGCGAGCTGAAGTGCTTTTTTGCAACCTGTTTCAGCGCTCCGGTTTATAGCGTGTAGGTTGCCAGATACAGTCACTACCAGCTGTCCCACGGTTTCACATCGTAGCTGGAAGCAGAACAACTTTGAAATGAACACATCTGACAAAGTCTCACTTTAGGAAGGGAATCAAGTTTTGGCCCGACAGTGAATTTGATCATATGGTAATAATAGAGAAGTCTAAGAATTATTTAATGAACTCTGCCATATCTTCTCTTTGATATGGATGCTTTTTTATATTTTCCCATGGGAAAGTGAAAGCTGTTTTGTTTCTGAACGAGCCAGTAAGACTTAAAATAAACACAACCCAGCTATTTATACCACATGTGACCTTATAGGAACCTTGCAAACACAGCCATGTATGTTACTGGCCAACAAAATAAATCATTGACATTTTCAAATGCACCTGGCTAGATTAAACATTTGTAGCACTTTTTAAAGGTCTAAACAATTATATAAGAATCGTATCAATCAAAAATGCATTCCAAAATTGCATTGAAATGAAGTTCAATGGGACAAATGCAAGATACTCCACTCAGGCAGAAAAAATGAAATGCAAAGATACAAAATGGTCTCAACAGCAATACATGTGAAAAAGATCTTGGAGTCCTTGTAGACAAGTTAAACACGAGCCAACAATGTGATACTGCAGCTAAAAAAGCCAATGGGATTTTGGCCTGCATCAAATAGGAGTATAGTGTCTAGATCCAGGGAAGTCATGTTACCCCTCTATTCTGCTTTGGTTAGACCACACTTGGAATACTGTGTCCAATTCTGGGCACCACAACTGAAGGGAGATGTTGGCAAGCTGGAATGTGTCCCAAGGAGGGCGACTTAAATAATCAAGGGTCTGGAGAACAAGCCCTATGAGGAGCGGCTTAAAGAGCTGGGCATGTTTAGCCAGAAGAAGAGAAGGCTGAGAGGTGACATGATAGCCACATATAAATATATGAGAGGAAGTCATAGGGAGAAGGGAGCAACCTTGTTTTCTGCTGCCCTGGAGACTAGGACATGGAACAATGGAACAATGGCTTCAAACTACAGGAAAGGAGATTCCACCTGAACATTAGGAAGAACTTTCTGGCTGTGAGAGCAGTTTAGTAGTGGAACTCTCTACCCCAAAGTGTGGTGGAGGCTCCTTCTACGGAGGCTTTTAAACAGAGGCCATCTGTTGGGGGTGCTTTGAACATGACTGTCCTGCTTCTGGTCAGGGGGTTGGACTGGATGACCCACGAGGTCTCTCCCAATTCTATGATTCTATGATCTTGGTTGCTCACCTGAAGACAATTTTGACTTACCAGACAGAACTAGGGAAATGGAGATTGACAAGCCAACCTTAAATATATATTTGCATCAGTTATTTCCCAGGTAATCTGTACTAGGGGTGAGTAGTAATGCATCATGAGGCCATTCCCTGTCTTTCTATTTCCATGTTTTCTTGGGGGGGTGGGGGGTGGGATAAGGTCTTCATAAAACAGGAAGCAATCTTAAGATTCACTTTACAATGCAAACTTGCATGCTTCGCTTAAGATTTACATGAGCAGAAACAAACATGGTAACATACCAAACAGGAAGGGAAACATTGTTAGAATTAACATAGGTTTTATAGTCCCTCCCCCTTTTATGGGAATCAGTTTCTAACTTCCAGTTTTTTCTTTTTATGTCCTAATAAAAGTTTTGCCAATGATTCTGTTCCTGTTACACGCTATAAAGAATCACAATCAATAGGCAGTAAAGCATGTCTCTGAAATGAAGGGGGAGCCGAGCACAGTTATTATAGCTGTCAGCTGTGATTAAAACTTTTTTAGGCAAGATGCATCTCCAAAGCCACTGCTAGTATTCCCAAAGACCTTAGAAATATCACTGGAAAGGATATATTGATCACCAAACCCCACTTACTAGAATAGCCCTTACAATCGGCTTATGCAAATTTGAACCTGCCTTTTTATCTTAACATATAAATCGCATGGATGTGTCAATTAGTTCTCAGACAATTCTTCAGTGCTGAAGAAAGCTGCATGATGCCCCTCTTTATAATAAGCATAGGAAAACACCAGCACTCCATCAATTTTTAACATTTACACAAATGACCAGCCACTCCCAGAAGGGACAGAGTTTCATCTATGCTGACGATCATGCCATCACCACTCAAGCAGGGAGCTCACAACTTCTGAGGATGCTTGCCATAGATGCAGGTGAAACATCAGGAGAGAATGCCTCTAGAACATGGCCATATAGCCCAAAAAAAACCTACAATAATCAATTCACAGTTTGTTTGTTTTTTGTTGTGTCAGGAGCGACTTGTAGTTTCTCTGGTGTGAGAGAATTGGCCGCCTTCAAGACGTTGCCCAGGGGACGCCCGGATGTTTTGATGTTTTACCATCCTTGTGAGAGGCTTCTCTCTTGTCCCCGGTATGAGGAGTTGGAGCTGATAGAGGGAGCTCATCCGTGCTCTCTCCAGATTCGTACCTGCGACCTATAGCTCTTCAGTCCTGCCGGTACATGGGTTTAACCCACTGCGCCACCGGCGGCTCACAGTTAAAATCTATTAAAACATTCAAAGCTAACAACCGCAGCAAGAAGTTGAACAATTTATAGAGGGCCACAGGCCCCCCCCCCAATTTGACCATATCAGTGCTACTCAAAGTAGTAGCATATGTACTAGTGCTGGTCCCAGTGACATTATGAGCTAAATACAGCCAAAGGGAACAAAATAGTATTGGTACATTGTACTTACTTTAGTGGGGGAAAATTGGAGGTGCCCCACATCTGATAACTTGAGAAGCTCTGATCTGTATTTATCCTAAAAACAGCTATGTTAGATGGGGGAAAGGATATATTGATTCATTCCCATCATTTTCCAACCCCCAAATCACCACCATGGTGAGCAAATGCAGAAGAAAACAAGACGAAGGAATCCATAGCCTTTGAATTTTGACTCCATTGCCCATCAGCCACTGTAAACCAAATGAGGACAATAGGAGATGTAGTCAACTAAACTTTTGACAGACCACAAATTAATTACTCTGCTTTATGGACTATCCTTCTCTAAAGAGAGACTCTACCCCTGGGATGTTGGTTCTTTCTAGCTTGAACCTTCCTTTGAAAGCCATTGACAAGTAAAGAACCTCCCTTTGAGGTCCATTGATGCTTCTCCTCTCTTCCTTGAGTAGGTGGAGAAGGTTGAGAAGAGTAACTTGAGGCATTAGCATCATTCTGGTGCATGATTCAAAAAGTGAGGATTCACCCCAAACCTAGAACTGATCACAATCCTAAAAAATGCTCAGACCAAGGCCCCTTCCATGCAGCTGAATAAAATCCCCCATTTTCTGCTTTGAACTGGAATATATTAGGGATCTAGGATTGTCTGCACATTTCATCCCTCTCAAAAATTTCTATTCTAGCTATATGTCACCTAGTCATACCCAGCATTATTTTAAAATTTTAATTATTACATTTGGCCCAGCCATAGGTTTTAAACGTCGTCGTGTTATTGTTAA